GGGCAGCGGTGGAGGGGGCTGGGGCCCCCGCCGCGGCTTCGACAGCCAGGTCGAGCCGATGCAGTCGCCTCGCCGACGGGCCGTCTACGTATGGACGGCGAGGAGGGCGGGCGGTGGAAGCAGACGAGCCGGCTTTGAGGGGGACCAAGATAGCATCTGGCACATTTGCATGCACTCCTGGTTGAATGGCGCGTCCGGCGTGCATGCAGCGGCTGCGCTGCCGCGCCGCAGGTCACCCCCGGGCGTGTCTGCTCTAAGCTCACCTGCGTCTCCTTGCATGCCGGTAGGCTTGCGGCGCTTCTCCCTCATGCAGAAACACCGTATGGACAGATCTACACGGTGTGGATGGAGTGCGTAGTCGACCTATTGCGGCTGCTATACGATGTGCCGAATTAACCAAACTTTTATCATATGCTCCGACCTGTGGGTGTCGCACAATGGACAACCCGCGTCTTCCGTGTGATTGGATCGATGTTCGTTGTTGCCTGCGAGGCGGGTTGCAATGTACAGTGCACGCGCTTCAAGGTAGTCCACTCTGAGGGGATTTCCAGATTTCCCTGGTCGTCAGTGACGTGTGCGTACAACACGGGACCTGACGTCACTTGGCAGCACTCGCACTGCCTGGGTTCCCAGCACTGTAGGAGGCCCACAATGGATCACATGCACACATAGTGATGATTGGCCCCTAGGTCTCGTGAGGTCACCCTGCCAGGTGCATTCTAGATTGCTGGTGCGCGCCAACGTTGCCGGGTTGCACTTGCTTCATAACCTTCCCTACGAGTTGGTGCAGGCACAGTAGTGCGTGAGCACGCGGCTAGCTTCTCACACCTATTGAACACGATACAACAAGTGACCACTCAACTCCTACACCAGCGCTTGACATCCAGGGGCTGTACAATTTCATGACTCACTGTGCCTCAGCCGTTTTCGGCATTTCCCTCAGGCCAAGCACCCCGATCGACCCCGCAAGCCGTTGCCTACCACCCTGCACGCCCGTGCCAGTGGCATAGCATAACTCTGCTTGAGGTTATCCTACAAATAGGAGTGGCAGTGCGCCTTCTTACATGTAGGAGTGGCAGTGCATCCGAGAAAGGTAGCTCCCCTTGATCGGCCGGCGGGTGGAGTCGAGGAGGGCGGGGGGTGTTTGGGCAGGGCACAAGAGGGACTGCTTCAACCGCTTTTGGTGTTCAGGGTGAGGGCTCCGAACTTCAACCATGCAGGCTCACAACGATGTCGAGCAGGTCTCGACCTGCCTTGTGATCATGACAACAGTGCACACAGTGCGAGTGGCGGCGTTCTGAAGAGATGTGCTTCATGCTGACAATAAATTTGGTAATCCGGAAGCCCTGATGACCTTGGTTCAGTGCCTGACATCCAAACGTGATCTGGCTCTGCTCTGGCCTCTCGTCCCCGGTCCTGCCGCCCCTGCAGCGGCTGGCCGCATGCAAGTCACTCAGTCAAAACACGCGCCATGCCCCATCACTGGTACATTTGGCAGGAGATATATGTTCGTTTCCAGAGTTCATGCTACGGATATGCTGACATCAGAACCTACACAAACAACCCCACTACTTTACCGTGGCAGGGAATTTGTCATCAAGGCGGTCCGACGCTCATCATCAGCGGGCTGGTTGGCGGCGCTACCGCCGGAGGTGCTCGCTGCCCTACTTCGTCATCGGCGACGTCGTCACTGGCCGCTACGTTCTGGATGCACGTGTCCTCCTGATTTTGATGCATCGGTGGCCCGTGTCTTTGTCAAGTGGGGCAAGCCACGTTGAGTAACTTGTACTGCCTGCAGTGGGCAGCAGGCCCAGGGCGGCAGCAGGGGCCGTATACCGTGTGGACCAGGCAGGCCACCTTGCAGAAAGGTTGCTTTGGCCCTGCCCCGTCCCCAGACCACCTGGAATCCCGCCTCCAGCATCAAATCATAGACAGAAAGGTGTTTTTGGTGCACGGGCTACTGGGTGCTGGCGCCGAGGACTGAATGGAAGGCGGGTAGATCACCAATAAGTCAGGCTGGAGGCTCTGATTGAATCACCTTCATCTGATTATGAACTCTAGCCGTGTCTTGAACCTCACGCAACACTCTGTAGTCCTCCTTTGAAGGATAGCTGTGATCTCACGGGGTTCCGATTCCCCGGCAAGCCACCTGTGAGCTCGACATGCAGGCTTGGGCACCTCGCAGGCGTTTGAGAGGCCTTCCAGGGTCACTGGCCTGCCTGCTGCGCCAGGTGCTTGCTGCTGCAGCGATCGGCGTCCTCGCGCGTGGTGCCACCGCCGCGTCAGCATCGTAGACTTCACTGTTCCCTCCTGGCCGCCTCCTCACTTGACGCACCCATCACCAACCTGTAGGGCTCTGGCTGCTCGCCCCTCCGACTTCATAACAATGGGCTCAACGTCTGCCACACCCGATTCGGCGCTCCTGCGGTGCGGCACTCTTGATTTCCAAGGATTCAATTTGCACCAGCTGCCGAGCACCTGCTTCTATGTATTTTCCGCATGCGCTAGCAGCAGGAGCCGCAAGATCGATGCCGAATCAGTTTTGGACTCAAACAACCGTGCTGCCTCGCTCCTCTGCACGCAGCGCGGGTGCCGGCACAACCCGCTCAGGCAACCGTGATGAGGAAGTGCTGTCCAAGAGGATGGACCGGGTGCACACCCCCACCGCCACCGCCCCCCAACAGCATGATCGTCATGGCGGTCCTGGTGCAACAGCTCTTTGCTTGCACACCATTGCTACAGCGCCTCGGCGCCCAGCCTCGCTGTCACCTGCACAGAAGTCAACTCTTGTTGTGATATGATGAGCAAATCACTGCTTACGACTGGCGTCATCAAAGCCGCAATTTCGTATGCGCGCAAACCTTCAGGTCCTCGTCGTGCGGATCCCGGGGCTGCCGCTGGATCAGCAGCCGCGCCCGCTGCGTGTGGAGGCCCCGCATGCGGACAGCCTGTTCACAGTCTTTGATGACGTGCTCGAGCCGCTGCCGGAGGGCAAGGTCATCGACCTGGACGGGGTGCGTGTGCCTGAACAGGGCTAGGGTGCCGCGCTGCCGCATGATTTGGGACGAGCGCTGATGCAGGCGGCAGGGTACGTGCATGGAGCGCGAGAATGAGGGGAGGAGGGGCTCGTGTGAGGTTTGGTCCGCTTATTAATCACATTGCTGTCGTCTGTGTCGCTCATGTATGCGAGCGGGAGTGATCATAGATGGGCGAAAGACGGCAGGCTGGGGGTCACCAGAGCGGGAGCAATTCACCTTGTCAGATCCAAAAGGGGGCCGGCCAAACGACCCCTTCTCAACCCGCTCCGGCCTCTGGCCTCTGGCCTCCTGCCTTGCCCCCAAACCCAATGTAAGATCAAGGAGCCCCTGGTGTTTGACGGGGACACGACAGAGGCGTGGTGGGTCAAGGGCATGACGGCAGATGACTTTATCGACATGGTGCTGTCGCTGGACGCAGCTGTCATCCCGGAGGCGGCACCCACCAAGGTGAGCAGGGCGAATTTGCCCAAGCTAGTGGCAGGAGGTGATGCATCACAAGAACCTGGAGAGTTATTGCGCGGCGCATGGTTGCTTAGGAGGCATACGGTGTGCAAGCGGACCTGCTTTGAGTGCTGCTGGCAAGCCGTGGTCGCAGAGTCCTGAGCGCGAGCACGTTTGAACGTGACGTCCAACCGCTACGTGCCAGCCAGCCTACAAGCGACCAGGCTGGCAGCCCCTGGTCAAACCCCGTTGCCCATGCGCCTGCGCAAATGCACGAGCTGCTGGACCGCGTGGCCCGCGGCGAACACAAGATGGAGTACGCGCGTGTGTACCCCACCCGCCCGCTGGCGTTCGGCGCGCAATACGTGCGTGAGGATGCCGTGTGCGGCCCGCGCGCTGCGGGAATGGTCACCGGCGTAGGCGGGGACTCGGAGATGCCGCTGGCGACGGGCGGGGCCCGGCTGGACAACCCAGAAGCCAGCGCCATCGACAGCTGCACCGCCTACCTGTGTGCCTGCACCGTTACTGCTACGAGTCCACACTGTGCAGCAGGTCAACAGTAGCTCAACGCAAACAGCACCCAACATTGGCCGGCGCTGCCTTGCCGTGGCATGCATGGGCCCCTCGTTTCCACTCACCGCAGGGAAAGAAGACGGGATTCCATCCCGGCGTGCTGCCGCTGCTGCTTCGCCTGGAGCCCGCCTTTCTGGACCCTCTGGAGGGCCGCAAGCACGCCAGCGTGCTGGAGCTGGCAAAGGCAGTCGTGGGCAGGACCGAGAACGGGTTCGAGCGCAAGCAGGTGATGAGCAGTTGACAGTTAGGGGTGTGTGCGCATGCAAAAACTGTGCCATGTGCGCTTGCCACAGGTCATGGCCAAGTACAGTTAGTTGTCACGGCCGGCCAAGTGCTGGCTGACATTGAGGCTCCCGGGGACACTTTCATGACATTGCCACACAGTTTGCACAGTGCTTGCTTGCCTCGCCAGCACAAGAGGCCGTCTGCAGCGCCAGTGAATGGCATCCCATGTGCGTTCCTATTGATCCTGACATTGCGAATGCAGAGGCACGCGCACACGTGAACGCAACCCTCTGCAGGCGTGCTCCCCAGCATCACCGTGCCTGCTCTCCCTCCACACTCCCAAAGGTGACCGGCGCCCAGATTCAGTACATAAACCAGGCCCTCCACAAGGCCACCGAGACGCAGGGGCCGGTGGTCTTCTGTGCTGACGCGGATGAGGCGCTCGACATGATGCGGCTGGCGCTGGCGCTGGCGGCACCGCTCAGGAGCGGCCGCGACCTCACGCCGGGCCAGCGGGCGGCGTCAAAGCTGTGCATCCAGTCCGCGCTGACTTTCATGCATGCGCAGCTCAAGAAGCAGGGCGACGCCAACCAAGACATCGGCACAGGCATGTAGGGCACGTCCAGCTGGTGACAGGCAATGCTTGCCGGGGCTTCCAGGGCGCTTGATGTCAGGGCGACGCTGGCACAGTGCAAAGAGGACCGCGTGCGGAGGGAAGTGCAAATGATTGGAATGGCAATGGGTGACACGGGCGGATTGGGTGGGTGCGGGCGGCACGATGCAATTCTTCTGCAACATCACTTTGCCAGCTTTGTGCTCCTGGTTAGATGTTTGTAACACAGCTGGCTATGCACAAGCCCCTGCACTGTCTCAAGTGTCGCACATTGAGCAATCAGTCAAGCACCCACAGCTCTGACCGGCTGGCAAATACCAATGCCAGGCCTAGTTACCCAGCAAGGTTGCTGCGTGAGACCCAGGCGCCGGTCATGCGTTACAGGTCCGCAGCGTATTGTATTGATACGTTATGGTACGTAATCTCCGTCGACTTTGCTGGGCCCGGCCCCCGCGTCGCTCTTTCCCCGGCCGCCCCTCGTCGCTGCTGGGTGGGTTTGAGGCGCCCGCATTCGTGTGTATGACGTATGGCGGGGTGGAGAGGCCCGGCCGGGCGTGGGGCGCACCGAACCTGGTTGGACTGGAGAATGCTTGCGCTCGGGCTGCGGCTCGATTGTGTGAAACAAGTCGGCACTGGTCAGTGGCACTCAAGCACCAGGGGGTCAGCTGCCAAAGCGATCCAAGTCAACCCACCTTCCAGCACCCAGGAAATGTCAAGACCATATTGATTGCCGTTCAGCTGCAACAACCTGCAATAGCCTTGTTTGTCAGATTTCATCGCCGAGCCGCAGCAGTCCCTGTGACCCCTAATGCCATCCCCAGAGGCCAAAACCAGCTGCGCCCATGCCATCTGTCAAAACCAGCTGTCCCTCCACCCAAATTCGCCCTACAAGGGTGCTGTGATGTTTGAAAGATGGCTGTACAAGAGATGCATGCAAGGTGTTACAGTCATAATATGTGGCTAGTAGCTGCAAGCTGCCCGACGCGGCGGGCAGCAGCATTCTTTCCCAGGATAAAATGGGGCATTCCGGTAGCCCTGATGACCTTGGTTCAATGCCTGACTTCCAAATGTAAGCTGGCTCTGGCCCATCGTCCTTGGCCCTGCCGCCCTTGAAGTGGCCGGCCGCGCGCAAGCAAGGCACTCAGGCAGTCAAAAAACGCGCCATGCCCCATCACTGGTACATCTGCCGGGGTGCATGCTGCAGATATACTGGCCTCATAACCTACTCAAAGACCTACTCAAAGAATCTCACTGCTGTGCAGTACGGTGGCTGGAAATATGATATGTCATTCGTGCTTGTCCCTGCACTCGTGTGTTCAGCACTGCATATTCAAAGTTACTTGGATTGCAATTTGATTGTTTCACAAACACCATCATACGCATACCCCGCGTCAAATGAGTCTTCAAGCGGTTGTCGTTCCGCAGCGAGCATGACAGCTCGCTGCAGGGCTTCTATGAACATCTGAAGGCCTTAAAAGCCACCTAGACGGCGTGCACGGCGCAGGCATGGCGCCCTCGGCATTCAAGGGCGCCAAGCCGCTGTCGCTGGAGAAGCGCCGAAGGCAAGCGCAGAGCGTCGTCGGATCCCTCCAGCTTCGCACGTGCGCAGGCTGATAGGTGCCGACAAACTGCCTGTGCGGCAATCAGGGGTACACATTAGCAGCCTACTGGCACAACACGCGTGGTTGCGCTCAAACGCATGATTGCGCTTGTTCGCATGCACTGCTGCGCACGCATCCACACGCGCACGCACAGGCGAACACACGCACGCATACACACAGCTAGCGCTCACGTGCGTGCACCCACGCGCATGTCAAGTGCCGCATGCGCCGCCCCGATATACTGGTTTCTCATCGAGCCGCTGTATTTCCTAACCTCTCCCAACCGCACCCTCACAGAGCCATGCTCGACAACGATGGGCAGCTGGTGCTAATCAAGGACCAGGCCCACGTGACGATCAAGGTGCCCAGGTTTGAGGACGGGGGAAACATCATTCTGAAGCACGTGGCCATGCCCAGGGTCACCAAGGGGCAGCGCTGGGAGCAGGTGAGCAGGGGTGGGGCAAAGCAGGGTTGGGACCCATGTAGGACGGCGGCCCATGATGTGGCGGGGGCCAGTGCTGCCTGCCACTACAGCGCTGGACGTGGTGTGCGTGTGTGTGCCTTCCTACCCCTGCGCTCTCTTGCGTCGCGCACACTTGTCGTTCCAGGTGATGAACGAGGTGCGCATGGGCCCTGTGCTGGCCAGCGCGCACCGGCTCATCGGCGCCCTGGACTGGACGCCCACGGCGAGGGGCCTGAGCCTGGCCTTCCTGCGCCCCGGGAGCGACACCCTCGCCGACACGTTTGCCAAGCTGAACGCCAGCTGCGTAGAGGCGGGGCTGGGCCCCGAGGCGGTGATGGCTGCGCGCGTGGAGCGGCTGGGGCCGATCCTTCTGGAGATGATGCTGGCCCTGAACGACCTGCACACACTGGTAGGTCTGCAGAGGGGAGGCAGGGAGCTGCTGGGGCAATAGGTGGAGGTTGCAAGCCTGCATTGCCTTTGGGTCTAGCTCGCCGGCGGGGCTCGCACACCGAGCTGACCAGGGCGGCGCTAGGCCCTCCTTGGCCGGGATGTTCAGACTGCCCGTCAACCTGGGTTTGACCGCCCCTTCTTTGTTGATGATTTAATTAGAGCAGGAACTCCCTGCCCCCCCCCTCCTTTGCACCTTTTCCAGGGCTACCTGCACCGCGACGGCAAGGCCTCCAACTGGGTGATGGACAGCAGAGACGCGTCGCGCCCGCTGCTCATCGACTTTGGCCTCGCGCAGCGCATCGCCGACGGTATGGGCTGCGCCGAGGGTTTCACCAGCTCCCACGCGCCGCCAGAGTATCTCCTGGCGATGGAGCGGCACGGGCAGTGGTCGTGGCGGCGGCAGCGGCGCGGCGCGCCCGCTGGGGAGCCGCTGCCGTGTGGCGGCGTCCTGGAGCTGCTGCGGGTGACGCTGGGGACCGCGACCGACATCTACCTGCTTGGGGCGACACTCTGGGAGGTGCGCACGCACGCGCACGCGCCGGGTGCTCATGGGGCTCACCCAACCCTGGGTGAATTGCGTTCCTGTATTGCTGCATTGAGGGGCTCACGTTTACGAGAGGCGGGCGCGCGGCTGCAGGGTCATGCGGAGGAGCGCATGAGCAGCCATGCAAGCGGGTGACACCGTGTCGCACTGCGTGCGCGCGCGTGCGCACACACACACACACACACACACACACACACACACACACACACACACACACACACAAACACACACACACACACACATGGACCTCACCCCGTGCACCCCCGCCTTACCAATCTCACCTGGATGCATACAAACAAAGGTGCTGTTCCCCGGTTACATGCCCTACATCGGCGCTCTGTCTGCGTACTGCACGGAGCGGGCTATTGTGGACGCCATCATTGACACACGTTGACCTTCCCGCCAGGGCCGCAGCCACCAGAGCCTGTCAAGGTGAGGGGAGGTGGGGTCGAAAGTGTGCGAGAGGTTCCACGGGCTGTGGCAGCCGCGCGCATGGGTGACATATGCAAGCGGGCCAGCGATGAGGGAAGCGGCGGCAGTGCTTTGATGGAGTTGCTTTGAGCCGCGGCTTCTTCTCAGTGCCTGACCACCCCGCTTCCCTCATTCCTGCCAAACCCTGCCCATCACGCCAGGCGGTCCTTGCGGCGTGCCTTTCGCGCGACCCCGCAGCCCGGCCGCCTGTGATGGGCCTGGCCAACAATGATTGGATGGGACCGATTGTCCAGGCGGCACTCGACAAGAGGTTTGCTATAAATCAGAAAGCCATGCCAGCGGAGCAGCAGCAGAAGCAGCAGCAGCAGCAGCAGCAACAGCAGCAGCCGCAGCAGCCGCAGCAGCCGCAGCAGCCGCAGGAGTGTCCTCAAGAGCAGCAACAGCAGTCTGGCACACACGCCCCTGTGCCACCAACTGCGGCGTGTGAGGCCATTGTGCAGCAACAGCCCGAATGCAAGGCACTGATCAGCGGCGCTGACGTCGCCTCTCCCGCCATGACGCCGGGCATGTCGCTGGCCACGCAGTCGGGAGCGCCGCCGCCAACAGGGTCTGATGCGCTGCAAGGCGCCGTGCAGGGGCTTTCGGCGGCGGGCACACAATCACCATGCTATGCAGCGGCCCTTGTGTCCGTGAGCGTGCAAGCCGCGCCTGCTAAAGCGGCAAGAGAGTCGATCGGCGTGCAGGTGACGTTTGCCGCGCCTGCCAGTGTGTCTATTGGTGTGCAGGCGTTGCCTGTTCCAGGTGAGACCCATGCAGACCGTGCAGGCGCCGTGCGGCTTGCACCGCTTGCAGCCACGGAGCCTTTGCAAGTGGAGATCTGCGCCGGGAGTGCGCCGAGCAGTCGGTGCAGCTCCAGCCCTTGCTGTGATGTCAGCAGTGACAGCAGCGCAAGCACCAGCTCAGGAGGCGATGAAGGCGGCGGCGACGGCAACGGCTGCCGCAGCGGCGGCGGCAGTGAGAGTGACCGTTACGCTGCGGTCAGCACCATTGGCCACAAGCTGCGCGCCGCGGCCGGCAGCGAGCCTGCCCTGGAGTACCATTGTCATGAGAAGACGTCCACGGCCCTATCAGCCAGCCCAATCTCAAGTGCGTGCGTGGCGGCGCAGCCACAAGACTGCATTGACACCGCCAACGCTGGCTGTGGCAGCAACAGCAAGGGCGTCAGGAGTCACTTCACTGGCGAAATGGGGCACGGCTCTTGAACAGGCAGCGACCGCATGTGCTTTGACGCCTTGATGCGGAAGCGGCGCACACTGGCATGCGCGCGGCAGCGTCTCTGTCCTGCGTGCGAACGCCGCTTTCAACTCTTTGTTTGCACCTGCTCGTATATCCCGGCCCCTTTCCCCAAGCGTGGTAAATGCAGTAAATTCCATCTCTCTCAGCTCATGCTGGAGATTGGTAGTCTGTGGGTTGCTTGCAATTGGATCAGTATGCAGTGCACGCTGTTGGCGTACTGCACTGGGTGTGTGTGGTCACCAGTGTGGTCACTAGTGACCTCTCTGCGTGCATATTGGGGGGGGGGGCGGTTGATCAGGACCGTATCGCCCCTCCCATGAAACCAGGAGGCCTGCCCCAAAGTTGCGCACCCTCGCTCAGGCTGCTGATCAGGTGTGCCGCGTGCAGCTGGCGGCCTTGCCGCTGTCGCTCGCAATTGCGGGGCCGGCC